ATCATGCGAATGCAATTTGAATGATTTTTCGCAGTTCTATGAACATTTGAATTTAGACCTTTTCTTTGTAGATTTCAAAATTTTCGCAAACTTTTGACCGGTAGTGTATTTGCATTGGTTTTTTGTTGTACGGCAGTTTTATATCTTTTATGTACTTTGTTTCATATCTAAATTAATAAAGTATCTATGAGTAATTTGTGAATGTCTTGCGGAAAAAGTATGTACCATAAGATAAGTTTTTTTTAAATTATTTTTTATAAGAAATTTTCTGCATTTCCATTAGAATAGGAAATAATTATCACTCTTATTGAGATTTGTTTAAATGCGTCTTTAATAAGAAAAAATGCAACTCAAATTAGTAACATATTTTCTTAGGTATCCTGGTACTACATTTATGGATCACTTGCTGAGATATCAACAAGAACCTGATGTTAAGATGTTGGTATTACTTGGGGAAGTAAGATGTTATCATTTTTATTCTGTTTATTAAAAATTGTCTATTCTTAAAAGCAGGGATCAAATTTGTTCTCTTTTGGTTCTGGAATTTCAGCCTTTTTATCAAAAACTCTGATTCCCTAAAAGTTTTGGGTTTTTTAATAAATATTCCGCTTTTTCTGAAAATTCAGTTGTTGAAATAAAATAATTATTTATTTCCGATTTTCAAAGATAAACAGAGAATTCAAACCGCGTAGCTGGCCACCCTTCCAATTTTTACTTCTTTTAGCATTTCAGCTATTTTCTCTTTTATGTGCAGAAAATAAGATTTTTCTTTTTTTTACCGGCCCGCCAGATAGCTCTTACTTTCGTCATTTAGACTTCGCTGCTTCCTGTTTGCTGGTGCAAACGAAATATTAAAAAAATAGTGTGGTTGATTTGCAGTGGAACTATTTATTTGCTCATACAATTTATCTTGTTAATTTTTATTTATTATGGCTAAACAAAAGCAATACAAACAAGCCTTTTAGAAATACCAAATCCAGAATCTGCTAACATCTCGATTCTTATTCTTGTGATTTAAATATCAAACACCGATTTTCATATTTACCTCATTTAAAAGTTGCACATTGCGATTCTTATTCACGCAATTTAAATATTGCGATTCTTATTTACGAGACTAAAAATCCAATATTACGATTTTTTTTCACTTTTGTTACAGGTGGGAGGTGTAGAAGAATATGAGGTTTGTGAAGCTTTAAAAACGTGCAAAATTACAAAACCATTAGTAGCGTGGTGTATTGGAACTTGTGCTAAAATGTTCACGTCTGAAGTGCAATTCGGGCATGCTGGAGCGTGCGCTAATAGTGATAGAGAAACAGCTGTTGCCAAGAACAAGGCATTATCTGAAGCTGGAGCATATGTACCAGATACGTTTGACAACTTAGGAAAAACTATTCAGTAAGTAGCATTTTTTGTATACATATAAAATTTACATATTTATTAAAACTCAAAATAATTGAGGGAGTTAAGTGGTTTATTATGAATTCAGTATGTATTAAAATCAAAAAGGTCAAGAAAACTGAGCTGGGCACAGTAGGCCCTCTATGGGCTGTCGTGCCACTGAGTTTAGTAGTAGTATGTATTAAGAGCGCTAAAATTTGTAAGCGTTTAAAAAATATCAATGATTATTAAAATGTGCTATTGGTAAAATAAAGTTAAAGGAGAAAAAAAAATCTACCTTTTAAATTATGACTAATTTCATGTATAATAGGCTATAATTTATGATAATTTGGCCATGGTCAAGCTGAATTTGTTACCAAGAAATAAAAAAAGTTTAAATAAATTTTATTCAAATTTACATCGATATATAAACATTTAGAGCAACTTTTTATTCTCAAGTCACGTCATAAAATTTAGTTTATTTTTCTAGTTCTTAATTTTCTACCTTTAAAAAAAGATTTTCTCTTTGCTTTATCGTTTGTTGTTCTAAATTACAAAAATACATGATTTTCACAATTTTCTCTGCAATATATATCAGAAATTGGTTATTTTATCATAATTATTTAAAGTTTTGGAAACAATTTTCTAAATTTTATTGATGTTTATAAATTTAGAACTTTAAACAATCGAAAAAATTTTTTTATTGCTTCACAGACCCTAATTATGATTTTTTTTATTGTGATTAAAAATATTTATTTTAAGTGACTGTATTAAGTGAATAAAAATATTTTTTGAGTACTTAAAATGTACTTAAAAGGTGCTTATTTTTGTTGAAAAATCTGACTATGCAACCCTGATTGAAATTTTGAATGTTTAATTTTATTTTTTGTTTAAAAAGTAAGATTTTTTGTTTTGGTTTCTATCTAGCTTTTCCTTTTTTGTTATAAACATTTGCTTTTATAACCGTTTTTATTATGACACGTCAATTAAGAGGCTTTCTATTGCACTTGATTCTTCACTTTTTTTAAAAAAGTGGAAAACTGAGAGGTTTAGCTTCAAAATTTTCTTTCAAAAATTATGATCGATTTTTACTTTTACTGTTTTGTTTTTGTATATTATCTTTTTCATGGGCGTTTTTATTATAGCACTGTACTTTTATAGCTTATAGCTCTTTTAACGTTTAGTGGATAAATTTTTTTTCATCAAATATTGCTTTTAGCATTGAAGTTTTGTTTTAAGAATTAGGTGGATATTTTTTTCTATTTCGTTTTATCAACTTCACCTTAGATTTTTTAATATCGTTGACTCAGTCTTTTATTTATCCAATTCCAATCCAATTCCAATTATCTTGATATGTAATTATCTTTATTATCTTAAATATTTTTATAATAGTTTTGTTTTCCTTTACCTCATGCCAATAGCATAGCTAAGTTTTGATTATTTTTTATTAATGACTGAACTAATTTATATTTAAAACTATTTATACTTATTTATATACATAGAAAGTCATTAATATTTATTAATGATTTTTTTAAAACAAAAATTTTTATTATTCTGCAGCCGAATATTCGGCTATTTGGACAAATCACTTTATTGTTACATTTCTAGTTTTCGATATTATTAACTAAACATTATATTAAGATCACATTTTAAAAATCTAACTACCCACAGGGTATTCGCACGCCTGGAAAGTCATGAAAAATCATGGAAAGTCATTAATTTCGGTATTGAACAAAATTTATCATGAAATGTCTTATTTTTAACTATTTCCGAATTTAGGTTGCCCGAAAATCTAATTATTAAACTGGAATTTTCCCCTCCCCCAATTTCTTGGTGTTTCGAATATCTGAATTTGTAACTCCCTACACATAGACATATTTTATTAAAATATAATATGTTTTTATCATGTTCTGTAAAAATTGTATTCTTTCAAAAAATGGAAGGGAAAGAAAAACATAATTTCTGGAGCAAATTATCTTTTAAACTTCTGTGATTTCAGAATTTTGATTATTTATTTTTTTATTTTATCAATTTAAAATTCTAGCTGAACAAGCCAGTGATTGGCGAATTATTTTTATTCCAAAATGAGAACAGAATAATCAGAAGTATTTCTTTTCTTTCCCTTAAACAAGAAAATTATATTTAGAATATAATTCTGCGGAAAAAAGAAAAAAAAATTACTTTTATATTTTTTCAGCTATTTTATTTGCTTCAACTCTTTATTTTTTCTGTTTTTTAAATTAAAAATCTATACATATGAAGATGAAGAGTATTACAGTTTTGGTTACATCTATAGTTTCAATCAATGTTATTATAATGCTTTTTAAAATTTTTTACTATTTTGTTTTTGTCTCAGAAAATAGTAACTTTGTAAAATCATGAATTTGAAAATGTATCAGATACCCACTATACTATCTGGTGTTTTCTTTCAGAGGTGTTTACGAAGATCTTGTTGCACAAGGGGATGTTATTCCTCAGGATGAGATGCCCCCTCCAGCTGTTCCCATGGATTATAGTTGGGCTAGGGTAGGTGTTACATGCTGTCTGTAATCTCTTCTTAAATTTCAGAGGCATTTATTTATTAAGGCCTAACAGAAAAGGGAAGAATTCAATAAGTATCAAACACTATATTCAGTTAAAAATGCTCTAATACCAGGGGTTTGTCCTCGGCAAATTTACTACCATTTAGTGGCAGGGCTCGTTGATTTAAATCATGATTTAAATCAAATGATTTTTTAAAAAAAATCATTTGATTTAAATCAACTAATTTTTTTTATCTATATATATTGATTTTAAAAGTTAAAAGACAGTGTTTTAAATATTTGATACTTTTATTATTTTCTTTTCTTAGTATTAAAACTTAATTTAAATAAATTGCTGCATTAATTAATTTTAGTTAACGAAATTACTTTCTTGGTGTGTGTTAAATTCCAACACATTTGAAATTACATTTTTAAAAATCTTTTGATTCTTGAGATTGAAAGTACAGATTAAAGTAAACATTTAATGCTGTCTTAATATAGACTTGCATAGCTGTAGAAAGTAATTAATAAACATGAATTTTTTTCAAAAAATAATACAAGTAATGTTAATTAAAATTCTACCTTTTGAATGAAAAAGCGTTAATTAAAATCTACATCATATTTTATTGGTGGAAAATGTATATTTCTGAAGCTTGAGGTTATATTAAAAAGAAATTACCGTAATATGCCAAAAACAGAAAAAGAAAAAAAAACGGGCTGATGAATTCAGATGTTTTTTTTCCTATTGTAGTGTCATTCTTCCCTTTCGAAGTCTATTTGATGCAGTAGGGTTATTAACTGGTATTTTTTTCTCATAATATATTTACAGTATCTTTGACATTAACTGATTTTCTATAAAGAAATTTTGTGAAAAAAAATTCCAATGAATACGATTTTCTAAATTTTTTTTAGCTTAACTTATCTATTTTGATATAGAATTAAAAGTGAATATTTTAATATAAAAATATATAGATTAAATATTTATTTATTTTTTGATGAATACTTCAGATGTTTTTTAACATTTATAAACACAGTCTGCTACATTTATTTTGTCATTTTAAAAATCATGAGAAAAAAAAAGAAATCACAATTTTGAATTAAAGTTATGGTTTGCTAACTGAAACTTTGTTTTAATAGTTAAAGCACAGGGGTCTGTCCAAGCCGGTACCTTTACAAATTCAATATTAGGAAAAATGATAGAATAATCACACAAAATACATATTCTTAAAATTTTATTTTTGTGTCTCGTACGAAACAATAAATCCATATTTTTACTATATTTGTGTTGATTTTTTAATATAATTTTTAATTTTCACATAGTAGGTACCTCTCAGAAAGACCCAAACAGACCCCTGAAGTATTCTTTAAATTCTCTATTTCATCTAGTCTTTAAATTTTAATCATGCATTTGTTTCAAAATGGTTGCTATGCATTCAAAGCCATGTATTATAATGAAAAATTATTTTAGTTAGAGCTTCTAAAATATTGTTACAATATAGTTTTAATATTAAGTTAATTTGATTAAACATTTATAATTTTTTTAATCATAAATTAAAGTTCTTACAGTGTATTTGAATAAAAATCAAAAAAATCTGATTTAAATAAAAAAAATCCGATTTAAATCTAAAAAATCTGATTCTTTTGATTTTTTTAAAAAAAATCAAAAAAAAATCACGAACCCTGCTTAGTGGTACCTTCACCAACTTAATGAAAAAAGGCAAGTTCTGAAAATCCCCTGCTCTTTTTAAAATTTTGTTTTTGTATCTCTGTAAAAACAATAAACCTGGAAAACAATAAAGCCATATTTTAGCGAGGTTTTTTCCCTCAGAGTTTTTTTAAAATGAAATGACGAGGCTGTCCCTCTGTAATGTTTACAGAAAGTCTAAACTCCAAGCATTATTTTAACCCACTGACGGTTCTGCACGTAAAAAGTCCCGTTTAAACATGCAGTCTTCTCTGTATAGCAAAACCGGTTTTATCCATGTTAATAGATAGGGGAATAGTGTTTTAGGGAAAAACATTCTTACCCAATTTTACCGATTTACTTAACCGCCAGTGGTTTAAACATCAATATACCTAAAACAATACCAATACATCTAATAATATACCTTTACTTTTTTTATGAATAATTTTTTCCTCGGAGAAACCATTCTGTACGACCCAGTCGAAAATGTCCTCATATTGAAGATAACTTTAAGTGCTATTACTGTTAAATGTATATTTCTATAAAATTCAAATGGAAATTTATCTGCAAATTATGATTTTTATGGATTTTTAAATTTGGATACAATTTTAAGCCCAAAATTTTGCAATGGGGAAATTGTTTTTGAACATATGGAAAAATATAGAAATTTATTTACCAGTCATAAATGATTTTTATTTGTAGTGACAATTTTTGATAATATTTTCTTATTTTACCATATTTTTGTGTTGATTTGTTAACATATTTTTTTATTTTCCCAAATTATGTCTAAATTTTCACAAAATAGTTACCTCTTAGAACAAACTAGATAGACCCATAAATTCTGTTCAAAATCAACTGCTCATTTTAAGACAGGCCAGATCAGCAGTTTTTCATAGATTTTGAACTGAATTTGATATTTTTCACTTGAATCTCAAAAATTCACTAAAATACTTCTTTACAAAATTGGCATTTAGATTTCATTCATTTATCTTTTGTTTACCCTTTTATGAACATTTTAAGTATTCTTATGAATTATAATTGCACTTAGGATGAAGGGTGGAATATGAAAGTTTCTTCAATTTCAATGCTTGTCTTATATAGTAATGTGATTTTTCAGTTAACCTGTTTCATTCAAGTGAACTCCCATGTCTCACATGAAAGAATCGTTGTTTTTCGTGTAGTTTTAACATTCTTTTGAAACATGTAATTAGAGTTCATGTGAGTCATGATAATATTTTTATGGAAGTCATGGAAAGTCTAAGATTTGAAAAAAATTTAATTTTAAAAGTTAACATGTTTTATTTTTTAAAATATTTAAGTTTCAACCCAAAAAATTGAAAATTGTTTACAACCTAATCAAACCTTTTAAAATTAATTATTGATTTGCATTTGAAAATTCAACAGTTTGAAAATAGAAATTTAGAGTTAAAAATTCTGAAGTTTATTTTATAAATTGTTTTTAGTTTTGTGATTAGCTATGTAAAAACTGAATTTGTAAAAAAATATTTATTGATACCTGTAGCATAGTATCTAAGAATTATTTCTAGTTTTCATATTTAACATCATTTGGTTGAAAATTAGTGTACTGTTTCTAATTATAAATATAAACGATATGTGATTTCTAAACTATGGTTAGCTGCCTCATTTTATTCACTAGTTTTATAATTTTTTTCCATACCAGTAACAATTAACATTGGATAATGATTGGTCTTTCCCTTAATAAACATAGTGCATAGCGTTTTTAAAAAGTGCTTAAAGGTGCTTATTTTCGTTTTTAAAAGCCCGTAAAATTGCTTTTTTCATTGGGTGTTTTTAAATAGTGCTTAATATTCCCTTTTCGAAAATGAGATTTTTTTCTCCGTGTTTATTTTTGCCACATACTGTGCAAAAGTGTGATTTTCACATTGTTTTATTCAAAGTTTTCACAACTGATTCAAACGAAATCCATATCGGCGTACAGTCTGCCCATAGCTTATGAAAGCGTCAATCACTTTACATGTTTGATGAAATACTTGCGAGTGATACACCCTGATAAAGTGTTATTTTATATGCACCCTGATAAAGTGTTATTTTAAGTGATTAATGCAACGTTATATATACAATATAGGGATGGACATATTTATCATTTAATAGTCAAATTACTTCTGTGACAACATTGATGTATACTTCCATGTATGTTTGCATAATCACAATGTCAATACTTTAGTAAATATTTGTAAAATGGTGGTTTTTAAGGTACAAACTTTATCCTTTTTATTAACATATTTTAATTTCTGAATTTCAACAAAGTGTTATATACTATAGTTTTTAAAAATTTTTTTTAAACTTTTTTTGATAATAACTTAATCAGCATTATACTTTAAACTTAAACATAATGTTATCTATAGACCAATGCTGCCATCGGCAAGGCACTTATTGGATCTAATGCCATATATATTGCAGCAAAAAATCATTCTTTTTTTTCTTCTTACTTACAATTAATTTAACTATAACTAATTATATGATTTTTGTTAATACAGTTAAACCCCGCTATAGTGAACATAGTTTATAGTGAACTCCCGGATATACTGAACAAAATGTTCGCTCTTGTGCTTTGTTATTTTGTGTACGAAAAAAAAGAGAGGAAGTTGGATATTATGAACTTTTTTCTGTCTTCGACTGATTTATTTGTTCCATTTTTTTGCTCTAATTTTGAATAACTAAATACATATGCCCATTTTTAAAACCATCTATAGCATGGAATGTAGCAACAAGCATTTTTCCTTGTTTGCTTCATTATTGATTTGGTTCAGCTTTCAAAGAAGCCGCAATCTTTCTGTATCTGGACAAATGCTTCAAGTCAAAGCCGGTGAATTTGCTGAGTGATTTGGTGAAACAAATTTTATGTGCTCGAATGGCTTTATTAGACAGGTTTAAAAAGCGAATAACATTAATTCAGGAAAAATTATCGGAGAATCGGAAATGTTTCCATATCTGATGTTGAGGATTACTCGTCAGTTTAAGATTACTAATTTTTTTGTAGGCAAGACGAAGAGTCATAAAAAATAAAAGTTGGCACATTTTTGTTACTACATATTATTTTTCAGTCATTTAATTTTATTGGTCATTTATTTAAATAATGTGAAATAAAAGGGGGAGTTTGGAACCATTAGTTAAAATTGTTCGGGGAACGGATATAGTCCCGGATACGGTCCCTTGAAGGTTCACTATTGCAGGGTTTGACTGTATTGTTATTATACCTGGTATCAAGTTAACTTAAAATATTGTTGGAAAAGAGTGTTAATTTTTTTAAAAATCTTTCTACATTTATTTTTTGTTTTAATTTGTTATTATTTTATTCCCTTTAATTATGATTTGTTATTCAAACCTTAACCCCTTAACTGCCGCGGGCGTATATATACGTCTCGGCCAGACGATGTGTTAACTGCCGCAGGCGTATATATACGCTTTCCCGAAGTACGATGCTTTGCATTGCGCTGCTATAAATAGAACTACACCCCTACTTCAGAATACAGTAAATTGACCTTGAAAGTGCTTGCTTTGCAAATATATTACTAATTTCGGAGGAGGGGGAATGGGAAAAGGATGTTATGGAAAAGTGATATCGTATTAATCGCTTGCTTGTCTCTTTTTGAGTAAGGTCGGGTTTATTCTTTTTTCGATTTCATTTCCCGCGTGTATTTGGTGCTTTTTATTCTTTCCATCAACGTCTTCAAATGCATCGCGAAAATGTGCTGTTTGTTCAAGAAAAAAATTCGTCGTGAATCCCGCTATCAGTGCAATGAATGTGATGTTGGTTTATGTGTACAACCATGTTTCAGGATTTATCATACAACAGCTAAATTTAACATCTTTTATATTGTATTTTTATTATTTAATTTAAATTTTGTATTTTCTTTCTTTCCTTTTTCTTGTCTTGTAAAAGTAAACTGTTTTTAAATTGCAACGCGTGCATCATTTTACCCCACCAAAACAGCGCGTACGAAAGTTTACTTGAGCGAAAAACGGTGGCACTGGGGAGTGAATCACGTAAATTTTACTCGGCAGTTAAGGGGTTAACAGTTTGTTCGGCTGTCAATTTATATATATTATAGTAAAAAGAAATTTAAATGTTATCTTTTTGTACAAATTAGTTTCACACGCTTTTTTTAATTTATATTTTTATAATTTTCATTGATTTGTTCTCTCTCATTCATATTTATAGGAATTGGGCTTGATTCGAAAGCCTGCCTCCTTCATGACAAGCATATGTGATGAACGTGGTCACGAACTGCTGTATGCTGGAACTCCAATCACCACAGTGATTAAAGAGGATCTGGGTATAGGAGGTGTGCTGGGATTGTTGTGGTTTCAGAGAAGACTTCCGGCCTATGCGGGGAAGTTCCTTGAGATGGTTCTAATGGTGACAGCAGATCATGGACCAGCAGTCTCTGGAGCCCACAACACAATTGTGTGTGCAAGAGCTGGAAAAGATTTGGTCTCTTCTCTTGTATCTGGACTACTCACAATCGTAAGTTGATCTTCATCTAGTACCATATCTGTAGTAAGAAGTACCAGTCTAGTACCAGATCTGTCAGAATTTTTTTTTTCTATTCTGTTCGTTAGGTTTCAGCAAAGTTTAGGGGATTTCAACATATTTGTAAGGTTTAGTTTAAAAAAATTTGAATGAAGATTACCACAAACTTGTTACATTAGTTCCAATTACATATAAATGAAATTTAGTCAACAGTAATCGTAATAAGTTCTCATTATATTGTAATAATAAGCATATTAAAAAGAGATCACTAATTTTTGAATCAGATATAATACACAAACTAAGATCGAATCTTCTCAGCCAAAAAATAAAGTTAAAACTTTATAAGACATTCATACTTCCTGCGCTACTTTATGGAAGTGAAACTTGGACCCTGAACTCAGATATACAGCAGACACTAGACAGCTTCGAAAAAATGATCCTTAGAGCCATCTTTGGCACAGTTCTAGGAAGGAGATGCTGGGGAACCAGATATAACTTCGAACTCTACCGACTCTATAAGCAGGGGTATGTCTAGGTTTTTCTGAGAAGTACCTATTTTGTGAAAATTTAGATATAATTTGTGAAAAATTAAAAATTATATTTAAAAATCCAACACAAAAATATGGCAAGAATATGGATTTACCATGTCTTAAGGAATACAAAAATAAAATTTTAAGAAAAAGTATTTTGTGAAACTACCGTTTTTCCTAAAATTAAATTTGTGAAACTACCGTTTTTACTAAGGTTAAATTTGTGAAGGTACCGCTAAACGGTAGTAGATTCGGTCTGGACAGACCCTTGATAAGCAGCCCAAAATTTCACAAATAATCTGCAGTAATAGGCTGAAATGGCTGGGCTATCTATGGAGAAGCTCTTAAAGTAGGGCCATGAGAATCGCCACCTTAAGTCAAGCCCCAGGGGCAGACCCTTTACTAGATGGCTCGACGACATCGAAAATGATTTGAAAACCCTAAAGATTTAAAATTGGAAGTGAGTTGCCATGGATAGGAGGCACTGGCGTTTGTCAGCTGTTAGACAGCCAAGGCCTGCAAGGGGCTGTTGTGCTGACAAAGAAGATAATACATAAAGTGTTTGGTACTGATCTAGAAAATAATGCCTGATAAATATGTCACCAAACAAGTCACTAAATCAAACTAATAATGTATTTTCAGTACTTATTTGGGAAAACAACCCTAGAAAACTATTAACCGTCAATAAGCTAGGTGGCATTAGAAAACAGGAAAAACTTACATGTATGGATGAAGATTTGAAAACAGCATCTGATAGACTTCGATAGAAAAATTCATTGGGAAATATATTCTATTATGGATGATAGTCTCACGTTTTGAAAAATAATGGATGTAGTGGGTCTACCACTACAAATATATAATTCCAATTAACAACTAAATATCTATCAACTATAACAAATATATAATTCCAATTAGTATATAAGACATGTTAACTTGATTCTATGGTGGGGTACCTTTTCATAGATTAAAATTGACATTGTCATAAACAATTATTCCCCACAATGGACTGCTGTGTTTAAAAATACTAGTAATAAAATATGCATCTTGAAAAGTGAATATTTAAAAGCACATTTCAAATTCCATGTGTCATAATAGCATGTTATAAAATGTATCTGGACTTTAAAGACTCAGCAAATTAATGGCAAAAAGAAAAAAAAATCTAAACACTGCATGGATGCTTGATGAGTGTTTAGATTATTTTTCGATTCAGCTCAACTTGAGNATTTAAAAGCACATTTCAAATTCCATGTGTCATAATAGCATGTTATAAAATATATCTTGACTTTAAAGACTCTGCAAATTAATGGCAAAAAGAAAAAAAAAATCTAAACACTGCATGGATGCTTGATGAGTGTTTAGATTATTTTTCGATTCAGCTCAACTTGAGTGCATCAAAAAGTGATCACTGTTGTGATCTATTTTATAAGTCGTAATTACATTGTATGGAAAATATCTCAATTTTAAAATCAATAAGCAATGCGGAAAAATCAATCAGACAAACGATAGAATCGTCATGTCAATAAGTGAATGATCAATTGCATGATTCGAATTTCGTGAGTCGTAATATTGCATGGAAAATATTAGGATTTTAAAAAACCATGAGAAAAATTGTAGCTGTAACTGCCGAAAACTTGTTCGAAGCCTTTGATGGATTCACAATGTAATCTATGCAAACTGTGCCTGTCAGAAAGTCATTAATTTGCAAACTTCTAATTCTGCTGTCAAGATTTTAAAATCATCAGATATCAAAATCCTGGCAAGCATATCAAAATTTTCTTTGTTTTAAAAACTTTTGGATTTTAAAAAACCATGAGCTAATCAATCGCAATAGCTAGATGATTCAGGATCGATTCTTGAAAAATCCAACTCCTCAAAGGTAATAATTACTAGAATGCGTTATTCAAAATTTCCACAACACACTATTGTATAAAAAATATCAGAATTTTATTATTATATTTCATCCAAAAATAGAAAGAAAAAAAAACAAATGCGCCATATAAATTTAACAATTCTTTTATATTAATCTGAAATTCGCATTATTACATTTTTTCAGTAAAATATAAATTTTAAAAAACTGAAGAAAAAAAACACTACTTTTAGACTGAATGATCTTTTGAACATTCGTGATTTCAGAATTACTTTTCATATTATCAATTTTACAAACTTGCTTTTATAATTGCCGCTAGGTTATGTTATAGAAATAAAAGCATGTTTTTTTTAAACATATTTTGCTTTCGAAGATTCTTTTTTCTGAGAGGTCTTTACTATTTTCAGTAACATATTTCAAGATTGTTTTCAATAATACTGCAAATCTACTACTTCGTTTATATTAGCAATATCTGCCAATCGGTTCAATTAACTTGAATATGTTATTCAGACATCATTTCTTAATTTTCTGTGAGTGTTTTGGAAGTTGAGCTGCATTTTGTACTTACCAATCTGCGTAAAATACTCTATAGTGCGTTAAATACAACTCTGGCAAACAAAAACAGCAAAAAATTTTTAAAAAAAATGAGAGAGAGATTATTGGTAAGGAAAGATAATGTTACGAAGGTCTCATTAACCTTTTTGCAACAGGGCCGTTTTGTTTAAGATGCTTGTTCGGGGCAAAGCAGAAGTAAAAAGAATTATACTATAGGATGGGAGTTTTGCTCTACTTGGCCTAGGTTTAGAAACCAAATTACAAATAATGAAGCTCCTACCTCCATAATTTTTGGTATTATTTTAAATTATTACGGAATCTGTCATATACATTAAAACTAGATTGAAATATTATTTTTCCTTCAATTTACATGAAAATATGTGAAAACATTTACTTACCTTTTAAGAAATAATTTTTAAAGTACTATTCTAGTTATTCAAAAGTTTTAATTGACAAAACACATTAATATTAATAAGAAAATATCTGACAAAGCAAATGAATCATCATTTTCTTCTATATCACTAATTAGTTCATTCATCATTCAAGTATTCATTCTCTGTTAAATAACGCTTTCTCGCCATAATAATCTGGAGTCGGGGCTTTCCGAAATAACAAGAGAAGTGCACGAAATATATCCAAAACAACACAAGCTGTAACAAAGCTGACTCTAAAACCCTTAAAAAAACACATAGTAGCAACAACAAAAAAAAAAATTTAAAAACTTTCAGAAAGCTCTCAGAAACAAAAAAATGTTAAGATCATGTAGAAAGTTAAAGAACCAAGCTCTTTTTGTTTATGTTTACATTACGATTTGTCCTTTCCTCACCCACAGCCGATGAACAAAATACCAAGGAATACGAAAATCTGAAGGTCGGAATATTAAAACTACGTTTAATTTAAATAAAATGGAGTGCCATCTAGTAGTAATTAAAAATTGTTTCAGCTTAAGATGCACTGCCTGTTCACTGGGCTGGTTCTCCAACAATGTACTGGTGAACTGCTCGGGCCTGAGATAAGTCTGCTCGAAAGGCATATATGATTTGCAAACAGGTTAACAGAATTTAGTAAAAATTTTAGATTTATGGATATTAGTGAACTATGATTCACAGAAAAATCAAATCGCTGCATTGTAATTGTTAAATCATGTTTCACTTTTGTGATTGAAACTTACCAGAAACATCCTATTTAGTTAAGATGCTATTTTATTCAGGAAGCGTAGTGTTTTAAAAAAGTGCTTAAAGGTGCTTATTTTTGATTTACGTTTTTTAAATGCCCTTAAAGGGGCTTTTTTATTGGGCATTTTTAAAAAGTGCTTAATTTTCCCTTTTCGAAGAAATTTTTTTTTTATTGTCAATTTTCAGCATGTATTATGCAAAAGCGTGGTCTTCACATTGTTTGATTCAATGTTTCCACGAATCATTCACACACAATGCATTTCGGCGTACTGTCGTTCCGTAGCGTATGAAAGTTCCAATCATTTTACATGTCTGATGAAATGCTTTGCTGGTCCGCGTGTGCGCATACTCTTCTTGATTCAGTGGGAATTATTCTTGCACTATCATGTGCAACTCGGCAGCATTTTGCAGGAGATTCTCAATTTTCGATTTCATTTTCCTCCTTCTGAAATCGAACCGAAAATTTTTTCCTTCCATGTTTTTGACTAATATAATCAAGAAAAGAGTTCTTTGTCAGAAACTAGTTATTTTATCATGGTCATGTAAAGTCTTTTGCATTTTGTTAATGTATAGAGTGCAGTGCTGAAAAGGTGCTTATTTTTTGTTGAAAGATTTTGGGTACGCACCCTGTTATCGACTAAAGATATTTATTTATCTAGGGAGATAGATTTGGTGGAGCTCTAGATGCTGCAGCAAAATTATTCACTGAAGCCTATGATAGTGGAATGATACCAATGGAATTTGTCAATTCAATGAGGAAAAAAGGCCAGCTGATTATGGGTATTGGCCATAGAGTAAAATCTGTAAGTATGAAACCATATATTTTTTTTTTAATTTCAAGAATANTTTTTTTTTTTTTGGGTTTAGTGAGAAAGCAATACAATTTAAAAGTGTTGATTATCCATTTATGTCTTTTCCATTATTATTACAAATTCAAAAAGAGTTTTTTTTTCAATTGAAAAAAATTATTTGTGACCAATATGAAAGTAATTAAGTTCTATTGTATTATGTTACGATAAATTTTAAATATGCATTATATAAATAATTTAAGTAATTTTTTTAGCATGATTTTTTTTTATTTTTAAAAAAAATTCTTTTAGGTACATATTATGTTAATAAGAAGGATTTCTTACCGAATATTTTCAGAATAATTTCTTCCCTAAAAAATTCGTGCTGTTTTTTTTAGAATGACCTTTCAATTGCAGACTCAATCCCTATAGTTTCAGGTTTTCTTTGCAGATGAGGTTCCTGAGATACACACAGATAAAACTTCATTTCAGAATATCTCCACAAAACATCATATGAGAAAACTGAATTTATGCGCAGATTTCAATGTGTAGCAATCTTTTGTTTGAAATTCTGTAAAATATTGAGAATTATTTAGACTTTAGAGTGTATTTATATGTAGGGGTATCGTAACACTTTCTATTAACAAAGATAAGACGAAATTCGTGGAATTTTCGTCCTCAACTATAAATTACAGTGCCCCTTTATGTATTAATGGTTATACCTTTGGAAGGGTTAACGAATTCAAATACCTTGACACTGTTGTTAACGATCAAATAATACTTAGAGCATCAATAGAGTCAAAATGGCTAATAAGTGTTTTTTTGGACTGAGGAGACAGCTAAGATTGAATCTTCTCAGTTGAAAAACTAAGTTAAAACTCTGACACTCATACTTCTTGAGCTACTTGATGGAAGCGAAACTTGGACCCTGAACTCAGACATACAGCGGACCCTTGACACCTATGAAAGGAAGATCCTCAGAGCCATCTTTGACGCAATTCAGGAAAGGGGATGCTGGGGAACCAGATATAACTTTGAGCTCTACCGACTCTATAAGCCGCCCCAAATTTCACAAATAATCCGCAGTAATAGGCTGAAGTTACTGGGCCATTTATGGAGAAGCTCTGAAAATAAGGCCATGAGAATCGTCACCTTAAATCAAGCCCCATGGGCAGACCCTCTACTAGATGGCTCGATGACATCGAAAATGATTTGAAAACTCTAAAGATTTAAAATTGGAAGGGAGTTGCCATGGATAGGAGGCGCAGGCGTTTGTCAGCTGTTGGGCAGCCAAGGCCTGCAAGGGGCTGTTGCGCCGTCAAAGAAGATAATACACAAAATGTTTGGTACTGATGTAGAAAATAATGCCTGATAAATATGTAACCAAATCAAACAGATAAAGTATTTTTGGCACTTATTTGGAATAACAACCCCACAAAACTATTAACCGTTAAGAAGCTAGGTGGCATTAGAAAACAGGAAAGAATGAGGATCGTCATCTTGAAGAACCTCGAGGGGTCACGCCCCAGAGGCAGACACCCTACTCGATGGCTCAAAGACATCGAAAATGATTTGAAAACTCTAAAGATTAGAAATTGGAAGGGAGTTGCCTTGGATAGTAGGTGCTGGCGTTTGTCAGCTGTTGAAGCTGATTTAATTGGTATTCCAATTTGATATTAATTGGCTGAGTTCTTTCTTTTTATTAGATTAACAACCCTGATATGAGAGTGCAGATCTTAAAAGATTATGTGAAAGAAAACTTCCCGGCTACACCAGTCTTAGACTACGCTCTAGCTGTCGAAAAGATAACAACTTCAAAAGTGAGTATGACACACTTAACTGGTTAGTAATCTGCTCTTTACAATAAAAATTGTGTTAAAATTTTTCATAACACCAGCAGAGAAATCATGGTTACTATGTGTAGGATATCGTCGCACCTGGAAAGTAATGAATTTCGGTATTGAACAAAATTTGTCGTGAAATGTCATAATTTTAACTATTTTTTAAAGAAAATCATGGAAAGTTATGGATTTAAGTCGCTGAAAAATCTAATTTTTAAAATGGAATTTAAAAATATCCCTCTCCATTTTATGGTGTTCCAAATATCTAAATTTGTAATAAAATCCCCACTCACTGTCATATTTTATTAAAATATAAAATATTTTTATCATGTACTTTAAAAAATTACGGTGTTCTTTCAAAAAATGAAAGAAAAAACAGCTCGAATTATTTTTTAAACTACTGTGATTTCAGAATTTTTGTTATTTATTTTTTTATTTCGAAATGAGAACAGACAAATCAGGAATATTTCTTTCCTTTCGTATGAACAAGAAAAGTATCTTTTAGAATATAATTCTGCAGAAAAAAATTATTTGCTTTTGTATTTTTTTCAGCTATTTTATTGCTTCAACTCTTTCTTTGCTCTCTTTTTTTAAAATTTAAGATCTATAAATATGAAGACGGAGAGTATGACAGTTTTGGTTAGATTTATCATTTCAATTTATGTTATTATAATTGTTTTTTAAATTTCTTGTTGGTTTTTTGTCGGAGAAAATAGTAACTTCGTTAAGTTGTGAAAAATTCTAGGAATTAGTCATGGAAAGTCATGAATTTGAAAATCTGAAATGTAGCAGATACCCTGTATGCAATACTTGTAATAGATAAAACGATTACGCTTTTATTCAATTTTCTCCTTTTGCAAGGTTTATTTTAATGGATACTGTTTACATAATGAAGGTTCTTACTTGCTTTTAGATCCTTAATATTTTGTTTCAAAGCTCTCTTTTCTCTAAATGTTAATTTTTTTTATTCACATGTTATTTAATAAAAGGTAAAAACTTTCTTGAACGAAAATTTTAAATTTAAGAACAGTAGAGCACTCATTGGATGAGGCAAAATCATTAAAACAATTAGACATCAGGAGCATGAAAACTAAAATTTAACACTAACAATCTAAAACGTAAATGTTATTTATTTAGGAACGAAGAATATTTTTGTTTGTTTACCTCTTTTTTTCTCTTAAAGTAAACAAGGAATTTTCTAACAGTTTCAAAGCATCCATTTCTCTCTGTTATGTCCTCGGGGAAAAAATTTTCAGCCTATGCAGCATAACCTGCTGCTTTATTAAATGGTGGTAGATAAAGTCTTCATCTGTTGCTTTACCAGATTGCATATTCGACTTGTATAATCAACTCTTATTCAAAAATCACCTTCATTAAGGCAGTACTGTTCTTAAACGCTGTTAGTATTCTTCTCGGCTAAAACTGATGTAGACCTTTCTGAAACCATTAACCATACAATCTTGAGAAACTTTTATTAAGTTTCTAGTAGGTTTATTTATTATTACTTTTTTGGATATTACTATTAGACGCAAGATATTGTCTAAAACTCTTTCACTCTTCGGTATTTCTTTGAAATAGTATTAGAGGATGCACTAAATACCGTGGATTTTTTACATTGTTGACATAAGAAATGGAAAGGAACTAAGCTAAAAAGAGATTAAAAACGTGAAATGTTTATTCACAGGTCTACTTTATATTATGAAAAGAAAGTTATATTTAGGTATATTTAATTTTGAACTTTCTGAAAACTGTTGCTATTCATTGATTATGGAAGAGTTCTATTCTTAATTAAATTATAATTTTAATTAAGGATAATATACTGAACCTTTGGTATTTTCTACTGTAATTTTTTTCTTTCATGTATGTTGCACATTTGACAAAGAGTTAATGATATCATTTTTCAGAAACCAAACTTAATTTTGAATGTTGATGGTCTGATTGGGGCAGCAGTAGTCGATCTTCTACGATGCAGTGGCTGTTTTACTCAAGAGGAAGCTACAGAATATATTGAAATTGGAGCACTCAACGGCCTTTTTGTACTGGGTCGCACAGTTGGATTCATTGGTGAGGATATTTTAAGATTTGTTTCCTGTTAACTAAGATATTTACAGCTGAGTATAAATTAGTATGGTATCTACATTTACAGGAAGTCTAACATATAATTTCAATTAAATTTACAACATATATATTGTAAATTAAATTCAACATATATATATATCAGGGTGGGTAGCATTTTAAAAAAGTACCTAAAGGTGCATATTTTTATTTTCGTTCTTAAGCCATTAAAAGCCCTTAAAGGTGTTTTTTTTTCATTGAGTATTTGTAAAAAGTGCTCAATTTTCTTTTTTCCAATATAAGGTGCTTTCTTAGTCATGTTGATTGCCGTCTCCAATGACGCAAAAAAGAGTGGTTTTCTCAAAGCTCTGTTCAACATTTTCACTATTCATTCTATTACAATCCCTTTCGGCTCCATCCCTATAATACCAAAGCGTCAATCATTTTATATGTTAAATTACTATAGGGTCCGGGTTAACTAAGCTGGTACTCGCACATGAAATCAAACCAAAAACTTTTTCCCCTATATCACATTAAAATTGTATTTTTTGTTGACTTTTTTAAAGGCACAGGCAAGCTTATGACGTTCACATACTCTGCCATTTATAGCTCAGTTTCACTATCGTTTAATATGATTTGGGGATCATTCACTAATAAAGTATTTTCATGTGGATCCAGAGCAGTGAAGAATCACTGAGCTTTATCATTTTTAAAATTTCGTCTCTTGTTTATTTAAATAAAGAATTGAAAATTTTAATAATGGGCTTTTGTGCCTGAGGGCGTTTGTGTTCATTAATTATATAAAAAAAATTATAATTTTTATTGTCTTATTTTACTGGATTTTTTTCTTAAAATTTCAGTTCAGTTCAATTTCAAAAAACTCAATGAATTTTAGAGGCAAGATTTAAAAAATAAAGTATCAACTAAAAGGTCTTTTCATTATTTTAACATTTAGCTAATGCAGGTAGAAATCTTATGTTATTCAGATTTGTTATTTCAAAATTATATAATTTATCACTTACTTTAATAAAAAATTGAAATTAAAAATTCATTAGGTTTATTACTCATTGAATTTTCATTTTCAAATTATTAAAAAATGTTTAACATTTAAAAAAAAATAATAATTATAGGGGGCCATTTACTAATTTACATTTGCCATCATTTAGATTTTTTTTAGTTTGCTAAATTTTCACCACATTTTTATCTATTTAGTATGATCAATAAATTTAAATGTATTCTAAAGTGTTTTGTTAAACATTTATAATTAATATTAAAATTTTCTATCTAAATTTAGGAACAAAATTATTTTATCCTAATTTAATAAAGTAATTATTATTTTAAAAAGCAGAATATGTAACTCTGCATCAAATATATTTAAACAAAGGATGAGAGATATGGTTTTTGGCGACTAATAAAATCAAGAATAGAAGCTTTGTCAGAAACTAGTTATCTTATCATTATGTTAAAGTCTGTAAGTTTTGTAAAGTCTGAAAGAGTTTTGCAATTTTGTTAATTTTATGTAAACATAAATGAATAATTTTATTGATAGGATTAATTTCATAATTAATAACCCCGTTTCTTTGAGTGCTCCTAAAACTATTATATTGATATATTTAACTTTTGGCTTTATTGATACAATATTAGAAAGCACTCCTTTTTGTAGATATAATTGTGTGAGCTGATGAAAAGATTATATCTTTTATTTTCCGGATTTTTATTATTATTTTTTTTCTTTAGCCTTTTTTTTCATTGTTCTGTAATTTTTCCATGTTTTCTCTACATCTTGAACATTTATTTTATGAGTTTTGTTTACTTGCAGCTTATGCCCAGTAAATATAACTTATTGTTTTTCTTAATCTTCTTCTTTTTTTTTCTTTTTGTATTTATTTATTATACTATATATATATGTATATATATAACATATTGTTTTTCTTAATTTTCTTCATTTTTTTTGTATTTATTTTGCTGTTTATATATATATATATATATATATATGCTGGTTTACTTGCTACCTTGTTTAAGTATTATGTTATACTATTTCCTTGTTTTCCAAAGCTAGTTTGCTACTGATGCAGGCAGGCAATCTATTTTCAAGCTTTTTTTAAATTTGAAAAGTTTTCCCATATGTCAGACCCTCAAGTCTGCTCAATGTTATGCCAATTAGCATCTAAACTTGTATTTCATGCATGAGTTTCACCCCTCAAAAAATTTTACTTCAGTGAAAATGCTCTTCCTAAATTGTTTGGTAAAATTGTAAATTGTTTTTTTTTTTTTTTTAATGCTAGTGTTTTTTTTTTTTTTTTTTTTTTTTTTTTTTTTTTTTTTTTTTTTTTTTTTTTCATGCATGAGGATGATAGGCAGTTGTAAATATATCAATGAGTGTAGAGAGGATGATACCTACATTGTTATTAAATAACAAGAGTTGCCCTTTATGATGAAATTGAATTTGATTAAAAATGATTCTAAAAATCACAGTGAAATTTTATTAAGACCTTTAAATGCATTTCGTACGGTTTCCTAAATTTGAGAGAGTTTTTACATTATCAAAAACTATTGTTAATGATTTTACTGCTGTACCACATTTTTTTTATTTATAATTTAACATTGTTATTAAATAACTATACATTGATCTCTTTTGTATGACAGAGAATCACCATTTGTCCTACAGATGAATGTGTATTAGCATGTCACTGCAATGCAAATATGTTTTAATAAAATTTTACTATTGGTGATTTTTAAATGTTTTTAATCACCCCTTCCCTTTCCTTCAATTGAGAACATTAATTGTAAGATTGCTAACCCCGTGGCAGAATCGCAGCAACGCGGCGACATTGTTGCAGAACGTTACACATTTCTTGCAGAAAGATTTTTCTTTTGAAAAGTAATAAAGATTACTTTTCTTTTTCTACAGAAATTTACGCGTAATATTTGAATTACGCATTTACATAATCACTTTCTGACATTCTCAATTTACACAGATAGTATCGTAGATGGATGTAATGTTTCGATTACATCTTCGGCAGTTATCGATTTTCACATGGGTTTTAAGTATCCCAATATATTTCAAACAATATAGAAAATTCGTATAGTGTATTTGAGTATTTTTCTTAAGGCAATGATTCTATCGAATTTTTGGCAGTTATTATTGATTTTTCCATAGTTTTTAAATCCATATTTTTTTATACAATATTTATTACATCCATCTAATCTCGAAACAAAACACACATTTGAGGAGTCCATCTTTTTTTCAGCAATTACTATTGCGAATTTCATGATATTTAATTATTTTTGTTCTTGTGATGATTATTTACAAAAGGAGAAGAAGGAGATAATTTGGAAATAATTTTCGGTTCTCCTCTCCCCCAATAAAATGTGAGAATATCACCTATAATATCAGAATAAAATATTATTACATGTTCAATTAAATATTTATATATATATATAATAATAGGGCTACGCCCCTGTTATCATTGGTTATGTTTAGCTCAAATAATTAAGTCGTGAGCCAAAATACTTATTCAATAGTTTTATTTAAAGGTAGGCTGTTGGTGGTAATAGCTCACACCCATTTCTCCACACTGGAGGGGGTGGACAGCACTCTCAGACGATTAGGATATATTTTATGAGGATCACATCGTGTTGAAAGAGACACACAAAAACTATTGCTTCTGCATTATATACTAACAGAAAATGAGGTAAAAAGGCTCAGTCGCTGCATACCTTATAACCTACGCATTATGGAAAATCATTTAATGCTTCCTAATACAGAAGTGAAAGATTTTAAAAATAACTCCTTTGAAATATAAATCTAATTATTATTCATTGGTATGTTTTCAGCCTTGAAGTTCCGAAATAGGATATCTCTACACCTATTCTTTACCAAAGACATTTTATGAAAAGAGTTTTGTTTTTATTAATACAAAAATATTTATAATTTTTGTATTACATATATATATATACTTAATGTNCTACCATAACCGGTCAAATGACCGGACTTCCAACACTTAATATATACCTATTTCTACCATAACCGGTCAAATGACCGGACTTCCAACACTTAATATATACCTATTTCTACCATAACCGGTCAAATGACCGGACTTCCAACACTTAATATATACCTATTTCTACCATAACCGGTCAAATGACCGGACTTCCAACACTTAATATATACCTATTTCTACCATAACCGGTCAAATGACCGGACTTCCAACACTTAATATATACCTATTTCTACCATAACCGGTCAAATGACCGGACTTCCAACACTTAATATATACCTATTTCTACCATAACCGGTCAAATGACCGGACTTCCAACACTTAATATATACCTATTTCTACCATAACCGGTCAAATGACCGGACTTCCAACACTTAATATATACCTATTTCTACCATAACCGGTCAAATGACCGGACTTCCAACACTTAATATATACCTATTTCTACCATAACCGGTCAAATGACCGGACTTCCAACACTTAATATATACCTATTTCTACCATAACCGGTCAAATGACCGGACTTCCAACACTTAATATATACCTATTTCTACCATAACCGGTCAAATGACCGGACTTCCAACACTTAATATATACCTATTTCTACCATAACCGGTCAAATGACCGGACTTCCAACACTTAATATATACCTATTTCTACCATAACCGGTCAAATGACCGGACTTCCAACACTTAATATATACCTATTTCTACCATAACCGGTCAAATGACCGGACTTCCAACACTTAATATATACCTATTTCTACCATAACCGGTCAAATGACCGGACTTCCAACACTTAATATATACCTATTTCTACCATAACCGGTCAAATGACCGGACTTCCAACACTTAATATATACCTATTTCTACCATAACCGGTCAAATGACCGGACTTCCAACACTTAATATATACCTATTTCTACCATAACCGGTCAAATGACCGGACTTCCAACACTTAATATATACCTATTTCTACCATAACCGGTCAAATGACCGGACTTCCAACACTTAATATATACCTATTTCTACCATAGCCAGTCAAATGACCGGACTTTATGTTTCTTCATTGAATGTATGAAATATGGATGTTAGGAACTAACTAAAACTAACAAACACTTTATTATAATTAAACAAAATTCTATATTGCCTATTTTTATGTATTGCAAGCACAAAGAATAACAATTTTTAATTCATTGCTCAAAACTAATTTTTTACATATACAGTACATATACATTGTACATTTTCCGCAAACATATTTCTCCAAATTATTATTTCTGTAATTTTTATAATTATTCTAATAATTAATATTATTTCTAAGAATCTGTGCTTGTTTCAATATTTTTCTGGGTAAAAACTAACAGTTAGTTAGAAATGAAGTAAAGCTATCAACATAAAATATAAGTTACTTATCAAAACATTTAGTTTTTGTCACTTTTCTGACACAAAAATGCCAATCTAAAATTTTAGGTACTTTCTTGAAATTTGAATTTACAGTTATTCTGATTGAACTCACTACACATCAGTCTTTGCAAAAATGCGCAACTCATCGAATGCAATACGTTGAACATGCATTACATCGTGATTTTTGATCCGATAACCTAATAAAGCAATAAATTGTTCTCTCGGTCAAATCACCGGCTGTGGTAGAAGTAGGTATATGACAAGTATTATTCGGAAAATACAAAAAAAAAATTGAATATTAACTGCGTATAAGCTGAATATTGACTGTATTAGAAAAAGTCATGAAGACAAATGTGCAAAAACGATAAGGTGATAAGCGCATTTTCAATACAAAAGTTCTTAAATGGTCATTTTACTGGTTATGGTATGTTTAGTGTTAAAAGGTGGTTATTTTTTATTGAATTATTTTGCTACGTATACCTGTAAAAGTAATACAAATCTTTTCTTCAGGCCATTATTTGGATCAGAAACGCTTGAAGCAAGGTCTCTATCGTCACCCTTGGGATGATATTTCTTATATATTACCAGAAGCTATGATGGAAGAAGAAAATTCATAGACATTTATGTAAATTTACACTTGTTTTATCTCATGGTGCTTATCCATGGGATCGACAGTATTCACTTTGTAGACTTAATAAGTGTGTAAAGCTGCAAATATGGACTAAGCAATAAGTAAAAATTGAGAGTATTTAAAATTATAGAATAATAATGCTATTGTTAAAAAAAAAAACAATTGAATGTATTTTTTTGCACCATTTGCCTTATGTAAATATTTTCATTATAAAAATTGCTGGAAACTAAAAACTAATGCAACAACAAAACATATCTATTTGTTTTGTGCTGACTTGAAAAAATGAAATTTTTTTTTTCTTTGTGACAATTTTTTTTTGTTTTTATATTTGTTGTATCTTAATTTTTTTTTATTTTATGGTTGTTAGGAAACATTTTTGAGATCTGTACATTCCAGTTTATTTAATATAAACTTTCATTCTTTTTTTATGGCATTTAAAATATTTTCTTAGGCTTTGGGCATTGTATTAATTTATTATATGTACCTTTTTTTAAAAAATCTTGTAGATCAAATTATTGTGTGAAGCCCAAACGAAATGATACATATCAGTAGATGAAAAAATAGTTTTTATTTCTGCTGCTGAATAAAGGGCTTTTTAAGCCATAGCTTCAACAAAAATCTTCTTGTACTTAGTTTTCATTTCTTCCCATGAGAATCTTGACAAATCAACCTTAAGAAGAAACAATGGACAGTATTAGAAACTACAAACTGAAAAAACACTATTGCCATTTCATAGTAGCTGCATAAATTTTTTGAAACATTCCAAAATTAAATTAAACAACATTAACCACTTCTGAACACAATAAAAAATTTCTTTTAATTTAGTTTAAACATTATAAATTTTCTTTTCTTAAAATATTTCATTCAAATTGATATTACTCTATAAAATTCATATTCCTTTTTTGCACTTTTATTCTGTAAGCTTCCTTTGGGTTAGAATTTATATTCCCCCTCCTATATATATATATATATATATATATAAAGTTAATTAGTGTGAAAAATGGAAAAAGTTTTTTTAAAAAAATATATCAGTTTTTTTAGTTTTAAGTAATTAAAAGTATTTAATTCTCTGCACACACGTTAAGTTTACTGATAAAAATATGTGGTGCTTAGAACACTAATGTTTAGATAAAAACTATCATATTTGCCGCTAACACGACTAAATATGCGTGTATCCCTTCGTTAATCTACGTGCTGTGCAAGTGGCCCTTCGCTCAAAAAAAGTTGTGCATCCCTTATATAAAGGAAATAATAGTTATTTGTAGAACACTTAATTGGAATAATTTCTTATAACGAAAATGTTGATTTTATATTTAATATAGTCTTGATATTTTTAAAATGATCGCTCAAATTGTGTTGCCGCTAAATTGTTAATGGGATTAAAATTGTTTTAAACATAGCTGCCAACATGGATAGGGAAAAATCCAATAGGTTTTGCAAAATAACATAAATTTCATGATAATCATTGCATAATGTACTAAATATTTTACATATAGGGAATTTTAGGGCTTTATATAGTCATAAAAATAGAAAAACTGCAATGTTTTTCAGTTATAATTGACACATTAATTGAACTTGAAATGTTATGTTTTATGTTTACTCATAATTTCGAATATTAATGGGCATTTAATTCATCAAAGATAGTTAAGACTATTTTAAGTAATTTAAAATGAGAGTTGATAACAAAAAAAAGTTTTGAACTGATTTCCCATAAATGAGGTTCGCTTCATTATGTATTAGAAATACTTATTTAAATATTCAAGCAATAATCTGTGTAAAAATTCTATTTCAATGGGAATTTTTTTAGGAGACTTACTCAATTTTAGGGAATTTTCTAAAATGTACAAAAACCAAGAGAATTTTAACTAAGCCAGCAAAAACTTGCAAAATCCAGTAGCTATGTTTTAAATAACTGTTCAGATAGATCAAATGAAATTTTTGCAACTTATCTCCATCTGTTAAAATGAGTAAATTAAGTATGTGATTCTCAATTCGCTGAACTAAAATTTTGTGATAGGAATATATAAATTACATTTAAAAAAAGCAAGAAAAATATAAAGCAATTGGAGTTTGTAGGTAAATAGAGAGTGAATCAAATAATTACCTCAATTTTGTGGTCTCTTGCAGCCTTAGGATGTCTACAAAAGTATTTTAATCTTTTAAAGAGCTGATTTGATGTGTTATACAGATATTTATCTGGAATAAAGAAAACATTTATGAAGGGGTTTGTTTAAATTTGAAAGTTGTTGGATCATTAAAGTAGCGATAAAAATCTTATAATTCATTTGCATTAACTAACTCTAAATTGAAAAAATAAATAAATATTAAGTTGAATTTATAGGTCATTTCGGTTTCAAACTTGAAAATAATATTTGTTGGATATTGTTATGAATAACAAGGTTTTCAAACTTAAAATATGAGCATTTGATTCTGCCATACTTTGGAAACTATGGGTGACCTTAAGATCCCCATATTTATGGGTCCATTTTTGTCAAAAGTGAGTCTCTACTTAAAATATGATTTATACATATTTAAAGTTTTGTTGTGTCCCAAGGTTCACATTTTAACTCTATCAGAGATGAGATTTTTCCGCTTTTCTCTCTCGAATTTCAGCCCTTTTTTATCAAAAACTCCGATTTTCTAAAAGTTTCTTTTCTTTTTTTAATAAATATTCCGCTTTTTCTGAAAATTCAGCCGATGAAATAAAATTATATTTATTATCGATTTTCAAAGATCAATAGAAAATTCAAACTACATAGCTGCTAACCCTTCCCCATATTGACTTATTTTAGCTGTTTCCTCCGCTTTTAGTCACGCAGTGGACTGATCGGTTTTCAGCAGATCACCGAAGTCAAGCATCACTGGCTGTGACCGCTTGGATTAGTCTGCGTTGAACTGTTCTACCGTAAAGTGCTCGACTTCACGTGCAGGTCGTCTGGCTACCGAAGCGGGGGGCAGTGCTAAAGAGAATAGAAGGGCTGGTTCACTCCTTTGAAGTATCTCTCGTCGCGCCGATCCTCCGACGTCACTCTAGTGACGTCACTTTGGCGCAAAGCTCGCACTTTTACTTCAAGAACGGAGCGTTTGGCCTTACTAGCTCTAACTAATATTGGATCATTTCTTTTTGCGAGATATTCTAAGACATTTGTTATTTTCTATAATGACTTTCCTCAGTTTTTGCAGTGAATTTACAAGAATTTAAAACTATTATCGAAATGCCAGTTTGCGCGATTGCAACTTGCAAAAATTCTGATA